TCATATGGACACCCCTGTCAGTTTGATTCAACGTTCCTTACCGAAGGTCTGTCACACCAAAGACATTGTGATGAAAGCTTCTTGGGCACAACATGGCGGTCAGAAAAACTTGTTTTCGACTGATAGCCTGTGGCATACTTATCGCGCTTGGTGTGACCTTTCTAATTACCCAGAAGACCCGTCAGCCTTTATATCAATTTCCTGTCAACAAAGCTTGGATAAATACCACCGTTTTTCAGAACTACAGGTATGTTTGTGGGGTTTAGACTGAAGGGAAAAGGTTGTAAAATGGACTATTGATATATAAAATGTCAATAGGTATCAAGAACTGACATTCGATGTAAGAAGCAGAACAGAATGGGGGTCGTGTGGCGTAACGGCAGACGGTGCTCGACTCGGAACCAAGAGGTCCCGGAGTCCTGACATGCCACCGATCTTGTGCCCTTGGGAAAGGCACTTAACATGACTTTTCTCACTTCACTCAGGTGAAAATGAGTACTGTATTGTCCCCTGTGTTGGTGGCGGCATTAATATTAGTTTTAAAAAACTTGAGTGTCACCACGTCTTGTGTCAAACAAACAAACAAACAAACAAACAAACAAACAAACAAAACAAACAACAGAATATCCAAAGTCGGGACACAGTTGTCCTTGACCCGGGGTTATAAATGCTACTTATCTATTTAATTTCATATTGCCTACATGTACCTATGCCATCGGTTGCAATGGCAGAAGAAACTCCCTTTTCCCCTCTTTTCATGCCTAGTCATGTTATAGGTCATGAAAGTTCGGAGTTGATAGAAGTTACCGACCTCTTTCACATTCTTTCTTCAACTAGAACAAATGAGGGCCCGGGAGAAAATTTCAATACATCGGAAGTTGAACGGATAAGGTGAGGTATTTTCGTCTTGCAATTGTATTGTAATTGTTCGCTATAGCCATTTTGGATGTAGAGCTAACGATACGATATAGAACTTGGATATAGTAATGGGGTTTTTGAATTTTGGCTTAGGGACATGCGAAGGGGTGGAGTTTGACTTAGATAGCCGTTTTAGGAACTACCAAAAAGACCCTTCGAACAATCTCCAGTCTAAAGGGAAGGGAAGTTTTTGATTGTATAGAATGATGGTTTGGTCGACTTTGTTCTTTCATGAATTGAAACAACTTCTATGTTCATCACAGAAAGTGGGTTATGACGTACTTCAACCCCGACACAGACCTCACCATAAAGAAGTCTCAAGTCAGTCTTGGAAAATCATTCTTCAAGTACGAAAAAAAGCCTAAAAAGAAGGTCAAAATCGGGCAATATTACTATCAGCTACTTCCCGAATCGTCGCCTTTTCTGGGCAAGCACTTTCGGTCTTGTGCAGTCGTGGGGAATTCTGGGATTCTCCTGGACAGCCACTGTGGTCCTCAGATCGACTCTGCGGACTTCGTGTTTAGGTCGAACCTTCCTGATCTTGAGGGGTTCGAGAGTGACGTGGGGACAAAATCTAATTTCACCACCATGAATCAACCAGTTCTTCCACACGAATATAACGGATACCTTACAAATACCACAATACAAGAGAAGTTTGTGGAACGACTGCGTCTCATTCACGACCAGATTCTCCACATCCCTGCCATGGTAACGTCGAACGGACTCGTAGAAACGCAGTTTATTACCTTAATGATAGTGAAACATCAGTTGCCACTGAAAGTTACGTTTGCACCAACTAATGTATATCAAAAGCTGACTAAGTAAGTTTTCGTTTCTTACATTTCAGAATTTCTTGATTTATAACATTTACAGGTTTTGCATCAATGGAAGGATGAAATTTGTGCATTACCATTGACCATGCCTTTTTTATGTTAAACTTTTACTTGCAATTTCCTAGGTTGTGGAATGATTCAGAATTCAAGCCGAATCGGCCATCGACAGGAAACTTGTTGTTCGCGCTGGCGGCCTGTCTGTGTGACCAGATCCACTTGTACGGATACTACCCATTTTCAGAAGACGGAAAGGGGCGAAAGATAAAATACCACTACTACGGTAACATAGGAAGCCTTAAGAAGCACAAATTGCCTGAAGAGTATCGGGCGTTTCTGACGTTTCACCAGCGGAAGGGACTGGTACTGCACACAGAGCCTTGTGATGACAGCAGACTCTAGATCTATAGAATAACAAATGCATCCATGTTTGATTTGTTGCGTGATAGGAATATGACCACTTTAGTCTTGCCTCAGTCCTTCAGCCGCCAACCCAGCCATCTGCATCCACCGACAACAACGCGCCACGTCTTTTAAATATCGCGATGGGACCATACAAAAACGTCTCTTATGCTATACATAAGGATATATATTAAAGACTGTATGGATATTAGAAACTCCTCCAACGATTGTGTAAGTTGATACCTATCTCATACTAGCCACCCACTTTTGCATTAGTTAGGTTAGCCTTATGAAAATGTAATTGATATGTACTTACTTAAGTTAATAGATGCCATACTTTGTACTCTGTACAACTGTTGCACAATAAAGTTATTATTATTATCAATCATCCTCCCACGCCAGGGGTGCTTCCTTACCAGTAAGGAGTACCAAGGCGTATTTGCCGCGGGATAGCTCTGCCGTGGGAGAATGGTAACAATGAACGACGTTCGAAACGGCTGATGAGATTTCACTCCATGTATGTACATGTAGATGGACGAAAACCGCATACGGTGGTTTGGGTAAGAATGCGGCACTGAAATGACACCAGAGATCACCACATGAAGTATTTCTTTCACTCGCTTGCAAATATATTCGTATCAATGTAATCACATTCACTGTGGTAATAATATGCTCATCATATAAGTCGATATATGAAAATACTAAGTACATTTTAAAATCGATGAAAGCTTAAGTACACTTTATCTTCTTTCATATATTTCTTACAGAAAACAACTCAATCCTACCAAGGACGTTCTATCAGAACACCCTTGATCCTACAAAGGATTGATCTTAATGAGAAAATGGTGTCATTCTGTGGTTTCAAACTGTTTTTACCTTGCTTTTACACCAAATGCACACTATGTCAGTTTTTCTTCCGACTACATAATGGATTTGAGTGTTGCAGACACATAGATCAGAAATACCAAAGATGCTGTTCATAATAAAAAAGTGATGTTTTCACAAAATAATATTTGAAGAGACTCATTTCTCCCCGATTGTTTGGCAAATTACAGTGCAATACAAACTGGTACAGTGGCATTCCTTCATCATGAAGCAATATTTGATTGTGTCCTGCCTATTACTTATGAACCATATAAGGGTACAAAAAATCAAACCATGGAAAAATAGAAATACATGTACATACAATACAATACAGCTGAAAATACACCATGTGACCATAGTAATTATATTTTCTCCTTGCAGCACGACAAAAATGGACTATTTCCACTAGAGGGGAATGATTTTACCTTACATGTATTACGATATTTAAAAAAAACATTACACTTTGTGAGGCCCCTCTATAATAGTTATAGTTACAAAATCATTTAAGTCTGTGAAATATTTTTGCTATGTTAACAAATGCAAGCTGAGATGTACATGTACCTTCCATATGCATGAAGTATTGATTAACTGCTGTATTTCTACAATGAAATACCAGTACAATGTACCTTGAATAGACAATTACAATATAATGTAATTAACAAAATGCTACATTGAAATACAACTCAATAAGAAAAATGAGGTTCTTGTATTTGAGAAGGAAAAATTCTCTAGAATAATGTTGGTTTTCTGAGTTAATCATTGCTAAATTTCTAGTAGAAATTTCTAAAAAGTACATAGCATTTAGGCTCACCAAGGACATTATGTAGTATAATGTCATTGGCCTCACACTTATATATTACACGTGTAGACACGGTTGCACTGAATATTCTGCATTATTCACTGATTATCATGAAAATATACATCTTATCCTTACACTGTGCAGTAGAAAACCTCGCTATCACAAATTGCTACACAATCTTATCTATCTACAATGTATCTGATTGACACAAAAGTCCACAGTATAAAAGTAATTTTTCTCAAACCGTGGAAAATCTTCCAGTTCCAGTCATGATTGCATTACCATAGTACCCACCTCCACACTCAGACTACATGTATGAACACTGAATGAGCATTGGTTTTCCACAGAAAAAATAGAATTCCTACATTCAACAGGGCAGAGTTAAAACTGTTCTTTCCATATAATGTGTCCACATGCCTGTTCACCTGTGTCCAAATGTTACTACTCCAGCAACTAAGCTGGGGCAGACATAAGGCATGGTGAATGGCAGGATGAAGCAAAACACCAACCACAATAATCAAGAGCTACATGTACATTGCTACTTTTCCAGACATAGCAGTTCAGAAGTGCATGTATACAGCCTTTTTCTTTGACTAGCAATTGTAACCCCTAGATAAGGATGCTAAAATGCCGAACAGACAATAAAATGTACTGGTACATTTGTTAAGCAGTCTGCTACAACCTCAGCAAGCATATACTGCACAAATTCAATGTTTCCTCTTCTTCTCAAAGGGCTCAAAACCAGGCTACTATTTTAATTTTTCAAGGGATGTCTGTGCCATGGTTGGAGCTTTCCAAGTTCTACTTTTGCCCATACAGTACAGATTCTGTTTTAAACCTCCCTCCTGTTGAGATAATTGGCAGGTACGTAGCCCTGTCCCCCCTCGTGTTGGACCAACCACCACTCAGGATTCCCCTGTAGGTCGTAAGGTTGGAGAACAGTGACCACCTGACCCTCGTGGATTGTCAGTTCTGTCTCTGCGCGGGCAGAGAACCCATACTCTGCATAATATTGGTACGTTGTTTCTTCCGTTTCTGGTCCTGCACTCCCATCGTCCCCAGCACCTGCAGCATACGTTGGCGGCTCCTCAGATGGCTCTGGACCGAGTAGGTCCATGTCAGGTGCAATTATTGAGCTGCTGGTAGGTGGCTCTTCTGTCACAGGAGTCAGGCAATTTGATGGAACCAAGCCTGATGGGATACAGTGAGAAATTTATAAGTGACACTTCTTTCCATGACTTTTGAGTTGAATGAAAACCAAAGATAAGAAGCAACATGAAGGCAAAATCTTATTCATCATGGTCTTAAAAACTAAAAGAATGTAAATTGTCGGACAGAAAAACTCAACCTACCTTTCTGTTCGCCGTTGTCGACAAACCAGCGATCCTGTCCACCCATGGGGTCCTGCTGTTTGATAACCCCTATCAGGTCCCCTTCAGCTATACTTAGGTCCATGGGCTGGGTAGGTGTGTGCTGCTTTGTGGCCTTGTACAGGGAGCCTGGGTACCGGGCTTGGAGCTGGGCCTTCTGTGCATCAGTCTGGGGACCTCCACTCTGTAAAACATGTACAGCTTGTTATAAGAAACACTCTTAATGCTGATAATTTCCCTGGGGACTAGGTTTATGGTTGGGCCTTCTAGTAGGCTTTTTGACCTTGCCTTTTGAAAATCAAAACTAGAAAATCACAAAACAGAAACTCTGACATGAATGTACACAGAATGTCCAAACATCTTTACCTGATCTTGAGCTGGCTCTGCCAAAGACTTCCTGCTCTGTTTTCTGTCTCCCTTGTCGGGTCTCTTGGAGGACCCCAGACCCTGTCCAGCAAAACTGACCGATGACAGCTGCTCCACAACCTGGGTGTGTCTGGTCTGGAAGGACTCCAGGATGTCGTCTCCTTCCGACAGAAGGACTGGCAGCTGGAAACAGAACAACTTTAGTGTCCACAGCTCTGGCATTATTCATCGCTGAAGCTCTGCACTTTTAATGTGCATGTGTAAGATACTGTTCAGAGAGAGTGGGACTTATTACAAAGTCTTCCTTACCTGTAACAAAGCATAGAGCTCCTTGCGAGCAGCGTCCTGGATGTTCTTGTGAGCGATGACAAAGTTCTTGATACAGTCCTGCAGCAGGGCTGTGGACATGGTGTGTAGTTTGGGCAGCTCATCGAGGAGCTGGGCATTCAGGGCCTCGTAGGTGTTCTTAGCAATCTGTGGGGACAGGAGGATACATGAATACATGGACTAGAACAGCTTCAGGCAAAGCAAATGATTTTCAGCATTTACAGTCAAAACTTTCCAGGGGACAGATATCTGGCCAAAGTTTATCTGGACAGGTGGTCACCATAGACAGGATTCTTAATGCTCGTGTCCATAGTATTAAATAATCAACTGAGGGACTACCAAAAAGTGGTTACATTGGCCAGGTGACCACTATGTAGAGGTGGCCACTTGTATAGGTTTGACAGAGAGTTATTCACATATCAGTAAGCCTACTTATATTCATAATGGTAACAATGAAGACAAATCAGAACTGCAATGAAAAGAAATAATGTGTATTCAAATAGTTTTCCCTCTATTGTGTGTAGAAGGCTGAACCAACCTTGAGGTCCTCCTGAGCTGCCCTGCTCTTGTCTGAACCTTTGGCCTTCTCGGAGTTCTTCCTCTTGTTGTCGTAGTCTAACATCTTGTCATATCTCTTCTGGATCAGCTTGTTGGGAGCCTGGTACATCAGCACCAGTGATGTCAGGGGGCTCACCACTCGCTCTTCCACAAATGTTTTCTGGAGATGACAGTTAATACAATGTCAAAGTGTAAACAGAATATACTGGAAACATGTGGTAACATGTGTTCCTCATATTGCTTTTTCATAAAATTTCAATCAAACTTTGGCAAAGAAACTAGTTGCAGAATATGTGCAAAGGAGGGGGAAACTAATGCATGACATACATATTTTGGCAGGTGGGTGCTGACAATAGTCCTGTAGGCTGTCCTGTAGTTCTCTATCTCCTGCCTGTTGGCCTTCTCAGCATAGAAGTCTGTGATGTCCTCTGCAACCAAAAGTTGTGCCTGAAGTCCCTCCTACAACATGGCCACAGTACCGTACCACAGGTTAAAAACAATTTTTTTTACATGAACAGTACTTCCGTGTGTCCAAAATTATAATCACAATCTTCCAAGACCTTTCTATCAATTTTTTCAATCAAGACCTTCCAAGAATTCAACTCTGTTGTTGCTCTAAAGGGAATGATTCATGAAATACCAGGTATTATCACAGTGCTTTATGTAATTCATCACAGTAGCTTGACTGCATCATAGCAGGCTTATGATAAAAGAAGTTGTTATAATGTATCACATCAGAATTACATGTACATTTGTAAGTAGTAAGAATACCTGCATCTGCCTGAGGTTTTCACTGACGTTCCTGATGAACACCTTGATGGTTTTCTCCATGTTATGGAACTTCCTGTCGGCCTCGTTGAACCGCTCATCCACACTGAGCTCAGACTGGCCCATCATGTGGATCAAACGACCTGTAGAGGGGGGAACAGGATTGACATCATGTAACCTTGATAGTTACAACTTTCTTGTTTGTTCTTCAACTGAGATGGTTGAACTACATTTCACATACTTCAATTCTGAATATGAAGCAATAACCATCCAAATGTGGTCAGTTTGTCACTGGAATTTGGATGCAACAATGGTCATGGCCACCTTGTTGGCCACCTTACTATTCCAACGTTTGTTACTCAATACTGTAGTGCATGAAGGTACATGTATAAACATCATCCAGGATACAGGAACTTACTGATAACTAAAACTTAGTAAAAACATCTGATTTCAACATCTTCTAAAATAAGACTACTAGACTCCTGTTTTTGCTGCAAATGAATCCATCCATTGATTTCACTCCCACCTGTGAATCGTGAGCTCTTCTTCCGTATGGAATGGAAACTGAGCTTGGAGATTTTCTGGCTGAGCGTGACGTCGTCGTCCACCTTACGGTACTTCATCACCAGGTCTTTCCTCCGCTTGTCCTCATTAATCGCCGTGGCAACGTCCGTCATCCTGTTGACAGCTGCCAGGATGTTGGCTTTGTCCTGGTGGTCATCTTCTGTGGTCTGTGGAAGAAGAGATTATCATGCCTGCCAATCTATCCTACATGTAGTTCATCTGTCTCATCCAAGGGGTATCCACTAAGATCCACTGAGGTTAGCTTTTAGTTTACGAATCTTTGTATGTTTTGTACGTCTTGTTTATATCATGCATAATATTCCTATTATAAAATTGTATTCATGTAAACCTTTTCAACTACAATTTTGGTCGCTAAACAATTAATGTCTAGTTGAAGTGGGGCCCAACTACAGAAAATTGCAGTAACAACTACAAGTAGCATCTGATTGAACAATGATAGATTCAGACATCCTAACAGCACTCACACTTAGCAGCTCGTTCAGCAACAGCGGATACTTCAGCACTCTTTGCACAGGTTTGATGAGCAGCGAGCTCAGGTCAATCACTGCCATCCTCCACTTCTCCTTCAGCGCAACTACAAAAACAAAGGTTTCCATCCATCAGTTCAACAACTTTACAACTTTGCTTATGATGTAATGTCTCCTTTCAGGATGACCTTCAGGAACCTGACTTTGAGGTTTTGATTTTATGTCTTCAAAGTAATATACTGTAATCAGACTAAGTGGGGAATGTAGGTACTGTATATTGTTGATGATAACTCAGATTACTGTAAATAATACCTTGATTCCTTAGATTGATTAGGTCTGCTGTTGAACAAAAGCCCTCATAGCTATTTCCTTGGGCAGTTAATATCTCTCTGGGCAGCAATCTGTCTCTGGTGGTTTATTTTTGACATGTACAGTTAATGATTGTCTGAACTTTAATGATCTGAGTTTCTTATGAGACTACTCAGAAGTTGCATGAAGAAGGCATCTACAGTAACTAGAATGCCAGTGTGCTTCTACTGTGAAAGTGGTGTGGAAGTGTTCAGAACAGCCAGATGAGTAAAAACTACATCAGATTCTACAGAAGCAATCATCCGATACAGCAAACACATGATCCGTCTAGTCGATTCTTGCCGGACCAATAATCAACGTCGGCACAGATTTGTTACAATGATTTTAACAGATTAAAAGATTTGACTACCGTTTCAGCCCGGTGTTGGCTAAACTGATACCTTTATCCAGAGTGGCAGAGTCCAGTGTCTGACCTTCTGACGTTGCATTATTATTCCACATGCTGACTGCAGTTCCAGCCATCGCCCCTACGTGTGTAGAGTCGGCAGTCTTTTTGATTAGCTTTTGTCGTGACAACTTTTTAGACGTTTAGTACATTGATTAAGCCAACACTTGCAAGACTTGTTAGCTGGCCACACACAAAGGGAGGTAGGACGAAGAGTGAAGACTTGATACTGCTTTTTAGGAATATTGCTATATGCAGCTTAAGTAAAGGCTGTCAAAAACATAGTTTTGGTGAGTACTTTTTAAAGAGAAACTTTACTTGTAAGTTTGACTGAGTACTGACACTGGAGATCCCATTGTTGATGATTTGCCAGTACACAATGTTTTAATCAACTTCTATTCTTGACACTGTAGATGAGTTTCACAAAAGGACACTACTGATCACACCAGATTATTAATTATTAGTCTTTCTTTGTAATTCCATAGAAAGCAAAATCAACACTTTATTTCCTTTTTTTCCGTATAGCACTTTAGGTACATTGCTTCAAGAAGTTGAAGAAGGAGGACATTGATGCTCAGAAACTTTGAAACACAGCCATTGACAATTTGTATGGAAGCTTTCTGGAAAGTGGGAGAAAGATACACAAGAGTGGACACTTTGTTAGGCTTGAGAGCACTTGGATGATCAAACAAGAAAAAACAGAGCCAGTAGCTGAACATGGGTCAAGTTCAAGTTGTAACTGCTTCATGAGAAAAATAACCCATAAGTTCATGCCATGGCTCCTAAAGAATTTCACAATAGGCAAGAGAAGATGGCTTAAAATTAGTTCATTTTCATGAAAACACACAATACATATACATTTTTTTGTACATTATAACAATGAAACAAAGTTATGTAATATGTCAACTGTAATATGATGTAAGATACGGTCAGTTAAGGATGATTTATCTTTTAGATTCAGTGGAATTAGTGACTTCATTACAAGGCAACAGAACATATTTCCACTTCTTAAACTTCTGTACTGAATGCTCAGTCCAAAATCAACAAGACTCCAGTCAAAGACTCACCCAGGCACCTCGTGATAGACTCCTGGATTTCCTCGATCTCTTCGTATTTCTCCAAGAGAGCCAGGGCATCGTCATGGTTACGACAGTACAGCTTGTACGTCTCCTCCAGATCTGCGGAGAACCTGAGGAAGGTTTCTCCGAGTCTCTGTTCCTCGGGGGCGACCCCCTCCACGCTCTGCTCCAGGGCTGGCAGGAAGCGCTGCGCCAGGTCCTGGACTCCCTCGATGTTCCCGAACAGGACGTTCAGCTCTGCCGTCTGGAACTTCTCCTCCCGCAGCGGGACCAGCATGCCCTGGGTGATCACGTGCAGGTCTCTCACGTAGTCCCGCTCCGTCTGGATGATCTCTTGGACAACCTGGAACAAGGGTGAGTGAAAAAGCCTTCTTTGGTGTTGACGAAACCCACATGTAATGTCTACAATCTGGTGTACATGTTACACTTCTGTATGTTATCTTGAGCTGATGAGCAGCAAACCAATAAAGATCATACAGTTCACCTCTGTATTCCTTCAGAGCAAGGGTACCACAGTTTCAAACTTCACATTGTATTCTGTGGTATCCTTCCATCTCCAGTGATGCTGGTAGCACTTTAGGCATGATCAGTAAAGAGCATTCATTGACTTTGTTCAGTAACCTGTAATAGAACTCAGTTTTAAGGTTCCTGAGAAAGTCTTACCCTGTCTCTCTTCTCAGCTTTCTTCCTCCTGATCTCCTCCAGTGAAACCCCAGCCTCTGCCTGTTCCCGGGGAGGAGGAGCGATGTACCTCAGGTTGTCTCTCAACTCATTCAACTCAGCTGTCAGGCCCTGCAAACACACACAGGCTTACAGGTCTGCACAGTACTCTGCAAGATGCCTGTCCCATAAAGAAACGTATGGAATAGAGTAGTCTTTTAAAACTTTTTTCCCACTTTATAGTCTTTTTCACTACTTGTAATATCCCCTTGCAAGTTACATCAAATCTCTTCCTTACTGCCCTAGGTTTTATAACAAATGCAAAAGTCCTGTTTTGCTTTTGAAAACCTCTTGAGACAATCTCCCTTAAACCTGTAAAATGGATCAGGGAACAGGCCTTCCTCAGTATCAGTACACACAAAAGAACATGCATTACGTTATAGGGGGTAATAATGATCGGATGGATGCATGAAGACCACTGTGCTGTAAGAGCTCATAACTCCCAAACACAAAAAGAACTTCACACTAGCTAATCAGCTACATTTTTGGCATGCTGCTTTAGCTTTATAACTACAGTTAGAATTAATAGAAAATCTAATTCTGACAGTTCTAAGTGAAAAGTATCAATAGGCTCATAGTTATCTACAGAGTAAGTTTCGAAGTCTTTATTGTTCTTGTTAATTCCCATGCATTTTAGTATGTATGCAGAGAGTAGTCAGTAAGACTGAGGAGGATCAGTTGGACTCCTTCTTAGTTTAATGTCACCCTATTTTGTACCTCAATGTTTGAATTGCAGAATTCCAAGTTTTCCTGAGCCTGTTCGACCTCTGACCCCTGCGCGGAGGCCAGCTGAGCCTCTAGTTCCTGTTTCTGCCCCTCGTAAGTCAAAAGGTCAGCCTCGACCTGGGCTATCCTTTCCTGTAGGCTCTGTATCATTCCTTCATCAACCTTGTCAACAGCACAAGGGAAAAGTAAAACACAACACAACAGAAAACGTAAACAAAATCAAACAAAAATGAAACAAAAGTGACAACCTACCTCTTGCTGCTTACGTTCATGCTCTACTTGACTAGAGGCTAAGTCGTTGCTCTGATTAGTAGCATACATGTACATTATGGTGTTATGACAACAAGAAAAAACTTGACACCAGTAGATTAGATGACTCTTACCTCTAACCCATCCTCAGCATCCTGCCCGTCAAAGCTCTGCCCAAGGTCAATCAGGTCAGCCCCCTTCCTTGCAGGCACTGCCATGCTGTGTGGTCTCTGAGGGACTGAGGGCCTTTGACCTCCAGCTGACCTCTGAGGTTCCACAGATGACGTTGGCCTTGGTGGTCGAGGTCCAGCAGTGTCCTTCCTCCTGGGAGCAGGTCTGCCTGGTGCTGCACCAGAGGTCGGCACCAGGGGGCTGGCCAGGCCTTCTGGCAGCTCCACATACCTGGGAAACAGGCAAAGGATTGGCAAATATATATATATTGACTTTTAGCAACGATGTCTGACAAATTTGAAGGCAACTGTTTATCAACTGAACTTGTTGTGAAGATGTATAAGAAGTGAAGATGTGTAAGAAGTATTTCTTTCTTGAACAAAATATGCTGTCAATACATGGGAGATGAACAAATCACAATGATCTAAATTGTCTTTCATTTTAAAAACTCTACATATGTAGGATGTAATACCCGAGGTCTGAGTAAAAGTTCTCACCATATGGTGTTGCGTTGCCTGGGAATGACTGGGGAGGGGGGCCGCTGGACGTGTCGTGCCTGAGAGGGAGGTGGGGGCCTCTTGGGTTGAGCCGGTCGGGGTGGGGGTACCTTCCTCTGGGACTGGGGTACCTGCTGTGGTCTTGGAGGGGCTTTCCTGGATGGTATGACAGGGGCCGGGGGCTGTTCCTGTGGTTGTGGAGTGTACTGGGCTGCTGAGAGGAGTATAGAAAGGATCAGTTTAAAAGTAAAACATGTCAGAATGTACATAGTACACAGACCTACAATACCCATGACAAACAAGACAATTTACTGTGATTTGTAATTTATGAGACACACATCAATGAATCAGTTGGTCTGTTTTTCCTACATATCCAGTTGCTTGAGTAACTGTTTTTTGGCATATCGTATTACCTGGATGTCTAACCTTCATCGACGTGTTTTTCCTACACTTAATCAAAACATCACCTTCACTACCAAGGAGGAGACAACACACACACGCACCTAGAACTAACCACAGTGTTGTAAGAGACAGTACTCACAGAAGAGCATGAGGTTCAGATTAATAAGAGTGTCAACAGAGGAGTCATAAGTGTGCCGAGGTCTGGACCTCCAAGTAGCTGGCAGTACAGAGGAAGAAGAACAAGGCAGAGGTGAGATATTTAGTGTCATCATGGCATGTTATGTTAAGAACTAGTAGTGGCGTTTGTGATCTAAGGCATGCATTTATGCCATCTGTGTCCATGTAAGTAATATAATTAGTGGGTTAAACATGTGACACTATAACAGATTGATGCAGAGAACAGGACAGAGAAATTAGTCTTTAGATAGCCTTCAGAACAGTACAGAGAAATAGAACCATTTTTGATTTGTCCAACATGTGGTTGTTTGTACAAAGTTCTTTTAACCATATGCAGAAATATGGACATGAACAGTAAACTCTTTTTATGCAAAATTTTACCAATGCTGATTAGAATGTGATTATTTCTTATGTTCCCCCTCCCACCACAGAACACACCCTGCCCTGATGTGAGACATACCAGGCAGTGTGGCAGACTGTCTCTGCCCTGTCAGGTCTTCCTGACTGTACCCTGAGCTGTAGCCTGATGTGTCAGAGTCCAGGCTCATGCGGGAAGGCCCCAGGCTGGCCTGAACAGCAGCAATAGGGCCGTGACTAGCAGCAGCAGCAGTGGCTCGCATAGGCTTTTGGTCCAACACCTTCACCCCTGCGGAACAGTACCTTGTCAAGCTAAAGACTCATGCAACTGTCTGAAGATGTAAGCATACCACTATGCCTTACATATCAAGCATACTGGGAAGATACTCTATCAAGTAAGTGACTAAGAGAGTAAGATTTCTTGTTCTTTGTAAAAAAACAAAAATGTATGGTAAGACAAGTGGATAAGAATATAACAAGTAACAGAGCAGAAAACCCATTTTGCAGGTGTAATGTCCCAAAATGGACTCAGGACCTGCAAAGCATCCTTCAACAGTGCCTTACCTGAGGGTTTTTCAGCTGTGACTGTGGGCTTCCCTGATGGTACAGAAGGTTTAGGTTTCATCCCAGGTTTAGGTTTAACTCCAGGCTTGTAAGGCTTGTCCAGCTGAGACTTACTCTCAGCAGGCTTTGATTGTTCCATAGTCCTTGCCACTTCAGGTTGTGTTTCCTGAGGAACACTGCCATCCATGATTTGTAAGTATGACGCAGGGCAAACACCAACCTGGCCAGCCTCATCTTGTACCTCCATCCAATCCTTATCCACCACACGTACGATCCTGTACAACTGGTCTTTGATAAGTCTGATATCTGCCTCTACACTCGGCTCAAACTCAAACAAAGCCCTGGCATGTTTCCCTGAATTTTTGTCTTGCTGTGATGAGATGTCATTGAAGTCCTTCCCTCCCGTTTCACTGCCTGGTTCCATCACTTCCAGATAGCCGACAGGTACAAGCCCACTTTGGCCTGTCGGCTTCCTCGCCTCGAACCAGTCTGCATCTACTTTGCTAATGATTGTGACGGTTTCTCCCTCCTCCAGAGGGAGGTCTGTCCTTTCTGCAGCATCAAATCTGAACAAGGCACGTGCTGTCTGCCCTGCATAGGGGTCCTGAACTGAAGGCTGCCCAGTTCCTGACATTTCAACAGTTTCCTTCTGGCTGTTCATGTCACCACTTTGCAATGCACCTTGGGATGTTTCAGAATGCCCTGCCTGCAGAGCATCCTGGGTAATCTCATTCCCCTCATCATCAAACCGAGGCAGATCAATGATCACCTCAACAAAGGTTGCTGGGAAAATTCCTATTTCTCCATCAAGCTCCCCCTCAATCCAGTCTTCATCATATCTGTTCAACAATGTGATTTTGTCCCCCTCCTTGAATGTTAGTTCTGTGCTGTCTTTACCCTGGAATGGGAAGATTGCCCTCGCACATGGCATCTCATCCTCATCCTCAGATTCTGAATCTGAATCATCTGAGGGCAAACTGTCTACTATACTCTGTGTCTGTCCCTTCAGTGGTCCTTTAAGCTTCACAAAAGCTGAAGGGAAAATCCCAGTCCTGCCGGCTATCTCCCCTTCATACCAATCCTGGTCCACTACTTTGGTAATATTGACAATGTCTCCCTGGTACAGAGTCAACTCCTCATCCAACTGAGCCTGGAGGTCCTGTAACACCTCTGCCTGCCCCAGGACGTCTTCTGCCTTTTCTGCCGGGATGGTACTGTCCTGAGATCTGGGGGCAGGGAGGTCCTTGCAGAACAGAGAAGGAAAGATGCCTGTCTTGTTTCCACACTCCCCTCGGTACCAGTTTCCATCTATGTCTTCTGTTATCAGGATTATATCCCCTGTAAAAACAAGAAAACAAATCTTTCACTCCATGTTCTAATGATCAAAGATATGAGATCTAATCATGATCAGATCAGTATTACATTGGACAGAACAAAGGATAGAAGTGGATAACAGAAAATTGTCACCTTTTCTAATGTCTAAGTCTCCGTCTTGTTGTGCAGGGAAGTCTTCTATTCCAACTGCCAGTCTCTGCCCTGGTCTGACAGCAGGCACAGGAACTTGTTCCACAAAGTTACATGGGAAGTTACCTGGAAAAAAGTACAAGCATGCATTTACCATGGCTTAGTGCTTTTAAGTTTTGGCTTAAGGCCAGAATCAATAATGTTGCTTACAATGTTAAATCGAATCATGTTTAGGGGGCAAAAATCGTAATCCTTGGAGCTCAAATTTCTCCCTAAGGGAAGTACACACACATCTGCAGATCTGATTATGGGTGGGTTAAACCAAGGAGGTTAACTTAAAAAAGAACCTCCTTGGTTAAACTATAATCTAATAATGGTATATTCTTGCAAATGGAATCCTTGTAGGGGAAACTACACTAAGATGGTGTGTTACACCAAGGGTGTTGTTATACATTGTACCTGCTATACAGAATGAGATACACATTTGAGTTACAAACTTTGATGGAGGTAATGACTTATTAGTGCAATGTGATGTCTACCTGACATGCTGTCCAGTTCCCCTTTCAGCCAGTCCTGGTTGACCTGTCGCACCACTCGGACCACATCACCCGTCCGGAGGGACAGCTCTCCTGGCTCGTACGTCTCAAAGTCAAACAGAACACGGACGTAGCTGCCTGGCTCCATGGTGAAACCTGTAAAAGATTTTATATTATAGTTTTTTAGACAATGTAATCAAATGGCTAGTGTACTCTTTGTGAGACAAATTGTGCGTGGAAACATGTAAAACAGCAAGTCAAGGTTGGTTGATACAACGACTTCAACCAAAAACAAACACTGCATGCAGCAATTCCTAGAATTCCTTGCATGAATAATCTACGACAGTCTTGATCCAGCTTCAGTAACAGTTTTAGGCAAAAATCAATGTTTCCAATGCTAGTCCAGGGCAGAAAAAAGATAACACAATGGCTGTCAAGGCAAGCTGATACTGGTATACTTGACTATGAACAAGACTTTCAAGACCTTCCCATGAAAAACAGGAAACAGTGATCAACAGATACAATAATGAAGACACAACGTAACAGTTGGAAAGTTTGCCAAGACAGATAAAGATTTTCACATCCTTTGTTACAGACAATTTGGTTAGAATATTTCAACCTTAGAGTTAGATAGCAAATTATTTATTATTATGTTATCCTAAGTACTGTCAAGGAGATTCAAAAAGGATGCTTGGTACTGTACATAGGTTTTCTAGGTTTGTATTTTCTTAGAGGCTGCTTGGCAGATAAATATACCTGACATGATTGTGAATTACTAATGAAATGCACTATAGCACAATTAAAAGGTTAAGATGTTTCCAACACATCTTATTTTATTTCACATACTCCAGAAGCACTGGTTGTGAGAAACATTACACCCCATGTTTTGGTGACTAACAGGCAGAACTATGCAGCTGCCATTCTGCACCAGGTAAATACAGCTAACCAGCTCTGTGTGACCAGAGGCTTTGTGTCTGGGTTGTTGGAGGCCAGGGGTGTATCCACTTTCACAACATCTCTTAGGGAACCTTGAAAGGCTGATCATGAGTTTCTCAGCCAAAGTACTAGTACTAGTAGGTTTGGGACATTTGGGAAAAAGGAAGATGAGATCAATGGGTCCATAAAATGTAGTCATTGTTCCCTTTCAGATCAAAGGTCAGCAAATTAAAAAAAAAGACCATCTCTATTGCAGAGTTTGCTACATGTACATAATGTACTTTAAGCGACGGTCACAACTCGCCGTGCGTGCTTTTTGTCCGTACGTTTTTGTCGTGGCTACGTCTGCTACGTTTTTTCTGCAAACGTAGGGTGGCCGGCCGAGGGAGTACGTCACTCGCAAGGTGTACGTACGTGGTCTGCACGACACGCCTGGCCGTCAGCGGTTGCGTGCATCGTACGTTGCGCAAGTGGTAAGTGAGTTGTACGTGCTTACAACGCACGATCTCTGTGCGATTGCTACGTTGCCGCGTACAGGCCGTACCTACACGTGCGGCGTACGCACGGTTTCCTTACTCACTCGCACGTTGTAAGTGCGTGCACCTCCTGTTAACTTCATCATCACTAGCCGCCCTGGTGTCTTCCGCGGCCCGTTTCTTTGGGTCTTGTCTGGTAGTCTTCTTCTGAGCCTTCCTGGGCATCTTGGAGACGAGTTGGCAGCCGCCCGTCAAGTTGTCTTTATATACTGTAGAGATCAGGTGCGTTGCACGTACGTTGCACGTGCGTTGCACGTGCGGAGCACCTGGTATGGTGCACGTGTGTTCTGCGTGGTCATTGAGCAGGTCAACTGGGAAGTGAGGAGTAAGCACGGATGACGCAAGCACCGTGCGTGGCACGCACGTGCTTCGTGCGCTGTCCGTACAGCAATTGCACGTGAGAATAGTGAAGTTAGACTCACGGAGTCCGTACGTTGCACGCTCATAGGCTGTACGTGGCACGCGCGTCGCACGTACTCGCACGCACGGGTGGTAAATCCGCAGACCGCACGTAGAAAAAGTATTACATGCACTTAAAGTTCTACGGCGTGTCTGCGTGCTCCCAAATCCGTAGGATTCCGTACGGAGGTGGTACTCACCACGCACGGATGCCGTACGATTGCCCACGTTTTTGCACGTAGACAGCACGCAGAAGCACGTACGGCGAGTTGTGACCGAGGCTTTAAGATGGTGCAGTGACATATTTCATATCTTCCGATCCCTTTGCATCAATCTAAGACAGATATTGCAACGATAAATCCTTTCAGCTCAAATGAAAGCCTCCCCCCCCCAAAAAAAGGTCTTAAGCTTAATCAGCAGTTAGCAGTAATTGATTCGTAGTTGGCATGCATAGAGCAAACAACTAAGGTCCTACTGTTCACTGTACCTCAGCTGAGTAATCCCTTTTGTGCAGCTCGTTTTGTCTGGGGCAAGTAAAAGTAAAATGTAACCCATTGATTCCATGTGGCATTGACCATGGACTTCAGACTAAGCAGGCTAATGGGAATGTATATGGGTGTGGCATTTCAATTAGGAGACTTTTAGTTCAATGTCCCAATTTGCAACATTCCAGTACAAGATTGAACAGAATGAGAAAAACATTGTTAATGTTAGTATTTAAGCCATTCCACATGTATGATATGTGTCGTCTGTTTGCTCATAATTTGTGGAATGTTTAAGTAATAAGATGGGCTGGAAACATTTGACTGGACCTGGAACCAATACTTACTTTCAGTATTTTGTATTTCACAGAGTCAATGGTACCCTAGCAACATATGCTCTATACATAAGACTTACGTGCTCACTGTGTTTAAAAGCAAAGTGCAGCTGGATGCTCTTATGACTTATGTGTCAGCGAGTTTTCCAACTGTTACTGTCCAAATTACAAATGTATACATACATAAGTATTATTACATACATACATAGTAATGAACTGACTAACAATTAAGAACCTGAAACATTCACCTGACATTGTCTCCCACACAATGTTCCCTGTATAATCAATATTATTGTCACCTTTACTTTAGCACAGTAAACAACAGTGAACTTTGACCTATTGTTCCAATCAATTATTGAAATGACCTTTATTGTGCCTTAATTGTTGTTCTTTGGTTCTACAAAATTTTCCAACTTTGTAGTTTTAAAAACTGCACCCTTTTATGCACAAACAGTCCTATATTGTAGTCCCAAAAGTTTTGAAGAAAAATTGGACAAGTTTGGTAGAGTTAAAATGCTTTCATGACAACCCGAAAACAGCGATCACTGTTTGCTCTACTGATAGACGGCTGTGTGACAAACAATGCAATGCTCAAGATAAGATAGGCACATACCAAACAACATGTGATCATCAAGACCTCATAATCTGTACTCCAGACTTCTGTACAGAAAGAACTTTGTCTACCAAACTATCGGGTAAACTACATGTTCAAAATGTACAAGACAAGATATACTTAATATACATATACATGCCTGGAACCCTGGGATCATATTACCAGTTAAATATCACCCATACATTGCGATCCCTTAAGGTCTAAAAACAAGTGAAAATCTTGTAGTGTTCTACTGGTAGCCTTCCACACAGCATTTAAGATCAATGTCTACCTTGTGATTTGTTGTTGGCAGGGAGCATACCACAGACAGTTCACAATGTACTGTACTGTATCGGCCATGTTTACAAGGCCATTATCATGTTAACTATTGTGTACATGCTAGATCCCTCTTCTTTGTCCCTTCCGTATTTAGATGAACCCGATCAAAGAGTTTTGGGTACTCTAAACAAATGCAGCTAGCTACACATCTAATTTAGTAATGACGGTGTTTCTAT